TTAATTATAGTTTAAGCAAAAAAATTAGCAATATTTAAGGGAAGAATTCTGAGAAAAATTTTTGAACCTATGTACCACAAAAGATACAACCAAGAGCTAGAACGACTAGTTGAACACGATACAATAATTGCTGTTTGTTCAACTAGTCGTTGAACTATCACTAGTCGTTCATAATCGTTAAAAAAAAAAATCACCGATATATGTAAACAAAAAAAAAATGTGAATAAATTTTAACATTAAATGTTAATTACTAATAAACGGTTAAGTGAATTACACTTAATTAAAAATTACAAAAGTTATTGGCTTTGAATATCTCACTATTAATTCCTATTATAAGTTAATTAAATTTTTTATGTCAATATGAATTAAATAAATTGAAAATACTTTGATTTAAATATTAAAACAAATGTCATACAATCAAAATTGATTATCAGAGCATATCTATCAGTCACTCAGTCAATAAGTCAAATCAATTATCTTTTATATTGAAATATGAAGTAATGTACTAAGTGCTGACTTCACTTACTTACAATGACAATAGAAGAAAAATGTAGATACATATAAAGAAAGAATTTTAATATTAAAAACTATTTTTAATATTATTTCTTATTTTCTTAGTCACATATTTACTGCCATTAAAGTCACGTATCTTTCAATCAAATCTTAATGCCTCGATATTAATGGAAATTTCTTTTACTCCCAGTTTAGAATTTCAAATACTCGTAAATGGAAATCATTGCGAGGCAAAAACATTCCTCCTTTCATTGTAATATTATTTCTTGGGTTTTTCATATATTTCTATTGAATACTGGAGCAGTTATTTTTACAGTGTATTTACGAGTCTATTATTCTCCCACAACAATATTATTCGAAAATTCCTATTCTATTATTCTGACCTTACTAGGAGATACTTCAAATATGTATTATATGAGCATTTTATTATCATATTAAATTATTTGGTAATAATAAAAACTTATTTAAAAAAATAAATGATTAAAAATTCTATACGTTTAATAAACTTTAATATTTTTATAATAAATCTTTTTAAGAATTTCATAAACCAACTAACTGCATGCACTTCAGACTGCAAAAGATTTAAACTTTACTATTCAGTGCTTAAGTTGAACGAAATTTTATATCTGAATAATTAAATGAATTTTAAAAAATTTGAAATTGTGAGATATGAGAAAAATATACTACGTAAGAATATAAGGAATTTTATGCACTTCCAAAACGGATATTGCCCGGAAAATGTATGCACTAAAAAGGAGTTAGAAAAGTTTCTCTACTAAAATTTTGGTATTAATTTTTCATTAACAGAACCCCAATTTAACTATGAAACATACACTTTTGAAGTTTTATGCAAATTTTGTTTTAATTAGTGAAATACATATTTGAACATTTTTGAGAAAGAAATACAGAATCATTTTAGTTTTGAAAAGTTTATAAAAATAAAACTGTTAAATTAACATTTATACGATTATAAAAAATATTTATCCATACCGCATTCAAAAAACTAGCTAAACGTCATCTATTCATTCATCTATTCATTAGTACTAGAACTTGCCATGAGAATAAGGATGGTGCCATATATGCATATTTAATGCTTAATATGAATTTTATTAATAAATCAATTTATTCTTGTGAGATCATTCTTGTGTAGTGTAGTGATTAAGTTCATTAAAATAAAGCCTTTAAAGCAATAGAATGTATACTAGCATGGTAAATATATTAAATGAACCTGCCGTTTCAGAAATATGGTTGTCACGTGAGCGAGTTTGTTTAATAATAGTCATATAAGCTTAGATCTACGTGAAGGACATCATTGAGAAACTGAATCAACCACAGTGGTAGCTAACAGCACCATAAATGCTGCAAATAATGCCAATGCTAACTAATAGCACCAATAATACCGGCTGAACTCTTTTGTGATGTTTGCTTTTATATGAACATATTAATAATAAGTAATAATAAATGTTTATGGACGATTTAAACAGTGAATTATTATATAATATTCTAAACACTAGTAAGAGGTCATAGTGATGATAGTAAACAAGTAATTAAAGAAGGCAGGCCGAAGCTTAAGTAAATAACCCCTATTGAGGGATGGACAATGACAAAGTAAATAAACAGCACTTTATACTCAGTACTTGTTTACAGGAAATCCAAATCGATCGGTATGTATTTATTGTGCACTGAGAATCAAGCCCTACTATTTAATTGCTCTGTTCTCTGATTCTAGACATAAGTGTGGTGATTTTAATAAAATTTTAATTCAATTTGTGATTACAAAAGTTGCCAGGAATGTCCATATGACTTGGTACCTATGAGTCTTTGGAAACACTACCTTAAATAGCCTGTGATTTTGGATCTGAACTATTCATCTTACTTATTATTTAGTTTGAGAAACATATATTAAATGTATTATGCATATACTCTAGACACTTTTTGGGTAATTTGATAAAATTTAACAAATACTTTGCCTTATCTTAATTTAAACATTTATATTAATAACGGAACCTAGGCATTATGAAATTGGTTATTATCTAATCTAGTAATTTGGAATGTTCCAGCTTCTGAATAATGTTTGAGCTTCTCGATGATGTTCGAGCTGCTCCATGATCTTCGAAATAGTCAATTAAAAAAATTTACTTGCATTAACCATTTTATATAAGGCACGAACTAATAATAATAACATAAATTTCAATTACTTAATGACAACCATGTCAGCGAAGCTTGGATACAGAATGCACCAATGAAAATTTTAAATGATCAATAGGAAAACCAATCAGAAGTTATACTAACGTGATCCCGGAGTGAGACAAGATCTCTTGGAATGAAGAGAAAGGGTTTAATTCGTGTGACTCATGCACTCTCTTTCCAGTGCACTGTTTGTAGTCTCCCCCCATTTTCCTGCCACGCAAATAACAGTATTAATAATAATAATTAAGTAATTAATAATTAAGTCTGAGGCCGAAATGTATATGTTAGACGTCTATAAAAATACTTATTAATTTTAGTTTTTTGTTAGAGTTTAATGGCATAATAATATTAATTGTTGTGTAATGACAATTTAGATTTTATTTATAAAATCTATTTTATGTTTATATAATCTGTTTTATTTTTATAAAATTTATTTTATATTATAAAATAAAATTGAAAGAATAGTACTTTGTATCTAAATTATTTATGTATCCATATATTCAATAGCTATTATTATTCTGCATTTTACATTTCTCCAAACAAAATTTTTTGTTAAATTTATGAAAAGTATAAAAACTGAATTTTACTGATTTTATATGTATTCAAAAATATTGAAAAAACAATTGTTTTTAATATTAAATTTCTGAAGTACATAACTTTATTATTTCGTGGTTTGCTCAAATATGTTTTCATTTAAGATTTTTGCTGTGGCTTGAGCTGCTGTTGTGGTAGAAAGTATACTTTGTAATGCAATGCCGACTTAAAGCAAACTTTAATCCAGTAAGAGCTAAAGTTTTTTAATAATTAAAAATACTTATAAGTTACAAATATTATATCTGAAGCAGTGCTTAACCTCAACTTTTTGAAACGAAGCAAAAGGAATATATAGCAATGAACTTTTTAAGAAAGAAAGATTCATGCCTTTAACTATAGTTGAAGTGCAGAAATTTCTGGTAAAAGTTTTAAAAAGAATAAATAAATAATATTAATACTTAAGAACTACTACCAAAAAACGTTGACGTGGTTAGTTTTGTCTTAGTTCTTTTTTTTTTGATATTTCTTAGGACTCAGATATATTCGTAACTGATTTTCACAAGTTTTCTACATACTTATGTGACGTGGGTTTCCTGCTTGTCGGTTGACTTTACTGACATTTGATTTTGGGCATGAAATTACAAAAATTTTACTTTACCACTTTTGTTAGACAAAAGATGTAGGCAGCATACAAGTGGGTGGTGGTGTACACAGCTTCAAGGGCGAGCTGAATACTCCTCAAATTAAATTTAGCGTTTGAGCAAATAAAGTTATAAGAGTAACAAGATACGATTTTTAGGATACACAAAAAAAGTTAAGAAAATCGAATATAGTAAGCACATGTATGTTGATTGTTTGAATGTAGGCGAAGACATGATGTTTTGTTCTTCTTCTTACATTAATTTCCTTTGTAAAATTATTTATAATTCTTTGTGTAATAATAAGGTTAACGGTTGCTTTCTATAGTAATTTTCAAGCCAATACTTATTTTAGAAAAACTTATAAAAATTTATTTTTTGTTTTCGTAATACTTTATACTTTATATATATGTAGAAACAAAAATTCTATTAAATTTAATAAACGCGTGAAAAGAATCTATAAAATTCAAAGGTGTAAAATTAATTTCGTTAAGTAATTTGTTAATTAATTATTCAACTGCATAAATTTAAAATTTTTTACATAAAACTCCTAGTCTGTATACACATATATAACAAATACACATACAAGCAAAAAATTCTGTATAATTTTTAGCGCCTAAATATATGCAAAGTAACTTGTGTATCAATGACGAAAGCGCGTGTTAGCACACATATATATGAGTCATTGTAGCACGTTTTTTATTTATAATAAGTTATTCATCCAATTCTCATTTTAAAAATATTTAAAACATTTATTTAATAAATCATTTACAACATTTACCAGTACAGAATTCATTGAAAAATAAGCATTAATAATTGACTTTTAATTATTTTATATTTTCTATATATATATATTTTAAAATATTTTTCAAGAAATTATTTTAAATTGCCTTAAAACATTTTCTTATTTAATTTATTATATATATTTTTCATTTGTTACACTATTTCGTCAACAAAATATTTCACTACTACTACATTTTTTTTTTTTTACTATGTGTTCATATATTTTTTACTATTTTTTGTTGAGTATCTTTACTACTTTTACTACGCTAAACGCACCGACCGACCGAACGACCGACCGACGCACTCAATTGAACTTTTCTTATTGAAAGCGCCAGCAGCGTATCAGCGTGTCAAATTCTTAACGAGTAAAATGGAGCAAGTTTTCCCAACAAAATTCGATAAATTGTTACGGGAGCGAAAGCTCCTTTTTTGTTCGTATTTCGTGTATGTGAAATTCGTAGTATTTGTTGAATGTGTTTGTGCTTTTGATGGTTCACGTATTTGTGTTGATGTTGGAACTTTACGTATTGTATGTGTGTGTGTATATAGTGATGTTGTATTTGAATATGAGTTGCTCTGTGGAAATTGTATTAAAGCAAAAATTATTAAAAAGGAAAAGGGAATTGTTGGGAAAGTGTTGCCAGACGAAATATTTTTGACTGTAGCGAATTGTTGCAAAATACCACAATGAAGGTGAAAATTTTAATGAATAAATGAAATTAACTAAAATAATTTCATTACATAAAACATCAAAGAATGTTAGCGGAAAATTAACTGCACTACACAAATAAAGCACACCAACAAATCTATTATTTACTATTTAGCTACTAAATGTTTTTCAACTAATTTTTTTTACATATTATTATTTTTAACAAAATCTTTCATTTAAAAACTTACTGCAAATAATTCAAAACTTAAAAGCTAAAATTCTTAACTGTTATAATATCTTGTAAATGAAATGAACTTCATTTAAAATTAAAATAGAATAACAATAATTTAATAGGGGCTTTGAACAACTTCCTTTTGAGTTGTATATGATATTTATGCAGTTTTTCAAATTTTAGGAGATGTATATATCGAGCAAAGTTTTCTATTTTCAAAGAACAAACTGCTCGATTTAACTTCCTATCTATATATTTAAATTAGTATTCCAATTATAAACTTCTCTTACATCTATTTACTAACTTGAGTTGCCAAATCCAATAAAAATCTCTGTCAAAATTTCATTTAAGCACCATACTAAGATGCTTATATACTGACATCCATACAACCAGACAAATAAGCAGCGGATAACGCTCAATCAGTTCATCTAGTCACACCAATCAAATTTATGAATGATATATACAGACATATATTGACAGACGTCCTTACGTCCCGGTGTATTATCGTGAAAAACTCAACTTTTCTGAAATTTCGGACTAAATCTTTTATTAAAAGAAATCCTATTTATTTATATCAGTCTGTCTAATTTTATTGACAATTAGTATTTGTAAAAATACTTATATTGATAAAAAATTATTTTGATTAAACTTCTAGATGTATTGAATGGCATGAGTAGATTACACACAGTATCATATCAATATATACTTATGTGTGTTAGTGTAAGTTATTTCAAAAACGTCACAAGGAATCTTTTCTCTTCACTCTGTGAAAGTATTCAAAGATCACATTTAAACCGCAAACGAATTTAGGTGATTATATATAAATTTGCATATCTCCTTGCGAGTGTGGATAGTTTTTCTTTGATTGTATGCATATGTCTTCTTTGATTGTATGTCTTCGTGGTTGCTAAACAAAAAACTTCTAAACATTTATGGAACATGAAAATTTATTTCTTAGCTTCAATGCCGAACTGGCGCAGTTGTCTAACAGCAATACTATATATATTGCTGAAATACAATATTTAAGATGACTTATACATAGTGCCGAATAACCTTTTATTTAAACAGATCCTTACAAGAAATTAAAATAGTTTCAGGGGAAAAGCAAGAGCGAAACCGACGATCAAAATCATTCACAAGATATTTTAAGGTAATAAACTGTAAACAGCTAAGAATAGTGTGGATAATAAAATAAAATATATAAATAAAATATAATTAACTAGACTCAACTACATAACATCGATTTTACATTCAATAGGTTTTGAATAAAAACTTCCGATTGTTACCCGAACTTTAAACCAAACTATTGTAACCGGTTATGAACCAGTGTCTTAACAACAAATCATATTAGTGTTAACGGAAATATTCGACTATTTAATCTACTTATTATGATTATACGCTTAATATATTGGAAACTGAATGAATAATCAGAACAACCACTGTACTGAACAACTTTAGAGAGTAGGTATATGATAAAACTAACAATCTTATAATAAATTATCGGGTAAGGCATAATCTTCTTATTCGTATATTTGCTTTTATTATGCATTATTTTTTGATATATATATATTTTTTGATATATATATATTTTTTGATATAACTTAGTAAGCCTTAGACAATATATCATAACGTGGGACTGTCTAGACATCATTAATATTTATGTGAAATTTTAAATTGTCTACTCAATAATCGTGTTGCCTGTCGTAATTATCAAATTGGCCTTTTAATAATTAAATTGTCCCCTTTAAAAAAAAATTGCACCCTTAACAACTGCCTCTTTTCACGATTAAATTACCACTTTGTCGGGTGTTAGACAAACATTATTAAACACGAACAATGTGTTAAAAAAAATTATGTCTTCCATAACAAACATTTTCTCAGTGCAGTATTTTTTTTTAATCTCAACATAGATTAATCAAAGCTGGAATCCCATAAGTCTCTCGACTTTCTCCCATACTTTATTCAATTAATACCACTGACCTTTAAAAAATGGTGTCCAACTTATTATATTTGTACGCTGATGACGCATACAGCCTGTATTCGAATGTAAATGCAGCTAAAACTTCAAACTCTCTAAGTATGTTTGAAGATATTATCACTTACTTTAGGAATAGAGGATGAAAGCCCAATGATGACAAAACAAAACACTCTTTATCATTCATAAACGTTATCAGTATTCATAACACCCTTGCGTTTTTGTAGAATAAATTTTAATTTAGCACTCCACTAAATGAATTACCTCATCATGACTTATGAGAAGTTGATTTGAAAATATTACACTGAAATAAAAAAACACTATCTGTACTCAAACTCTGAATTAACTTCAATCTTTTTTCAAATCAAATAAGCTTAAGTGTTTCTTCTAGTAAGACATCTAAATCCACACTTCAGGAACAGCAAACATATTAAAACATCATCCTAAGTAACAATAAATATAACAATAAATAAAAATTCCATATTATATTAGAAACTCTAATGTTCAGAGAAATCATTTTATTGCATCTGTTACAAAATGTCTGAAAGTTAAAGTGTCTTAACTATCCCGCAAAATAGATGATCATGCTAACAATTCTTTAGCAAATATATCAAAACATCATCCTAAGAAAGATATACAAAATTCCATGTAATATTAGAAACTCTAATGTCCAGAGACATATTTTTATTAAAACTATTATGGAATGTGTAAAAGTTAAAGTGTCTAACTATTCAGCAAAATAGATGATCATCCTAATAATTCTTTAGCTCCATTTAGAGATTTCAAGTGATAAAGAGTTCAGAAATTCAAAGAGATTTGCCGATATTCTTTCTGTAACATTTTAAAAACAGCTATGTTACAATTATGTAGGTTATGTAGATGGCCACGATTTTTCATTGTTGAAAACGTGCACTAAGGAAAGAGTATAGGTTCTTACTCCATTAAATTTCAATTCACATAATTTTAGACTGTTTTTTGTTTTATAAGATATAATTAAATTAAATGTGGGTGCGAACCTCTTGAAGCGAGTATATGAGACAAAATGTCGTCTTCACCGTGGAAAATGCCATTTAATGACATTTAAGAATGTGTACCTAACATTATACTAGCTCCTAATAAAAGTATCAATAGTTAAAATAAAAATAACTCAAACTTCTACTAACAAAGTTTTATAGTACAAGTTTAAAATCAAATAAAATTTTATATACGTATATACATTAAGACCGAAAAGTTTTCGGAAATTCTCATTTAAAATTCGCGCGCTGTATATTTTTCGATATTTTAAGTTTATGTAGTTTGGCAGCACTGTCCTTAATTACTATGCCAAAAATGAGCGCGATCTGTCAGACAGTTCGTTTACGGCAGCTGTTGAAACCAGTTCACCTCAGTAGGGCGTTGCGAAAAAAACAATGGAAAAAAATATTGAACAAAGAGTTTGCATCAAATTTTGTGTTTCGAACGAAATTTCGTGTGCAGAATCGTTGCGAATGCTACAAAAGGCTTATGGGGAATCAGTTTTATCGAAAACTCAAGTTTATGAGTGGTACAAAGCCTTCCAGGACGGTCGTACGACCGTCGAAGACATTTCGCAACGCACTACTGAGGTGAACTGGTTTCAACAGCTGCCGTAAACGAACTGTCTGACAGATCGAGCTCATTTTTGGCATAGTAATTAAGGACAGTGCTGCCAAACTACATAAACTTAAAATATCGAAAAATATACAGCGCGCGAATTTTAAATGAGAATTTCCGAAAACTTTTC